TTAATGTGCATTGAGTGCGCACCGGTTCTGCCAGTGAAATACGCTATTAATTAAAAATTAAAGCGATGTAAACGCCGTCCATGTTTAAAAAAAAAAGAAAAGTATTACTTTAATACTAAAATTAGTATTTTACTAATACTAAGATTAAAAGTATATTGATAAATTTTTTGCTGCCCGTAACTGTAATAAAATTTATGTAAAACGAAAACGGAAACAGTACAAGCGTGGGGTTTTTTACTATAGTGCAAGAATAAGTTACGGGTAAGATATCCGAATGAGGCTAACAATAAAACGCTTGACGCTCGCTTGAGATATTTTATTCTATTAACAGAAAACACAAACGAAAGCTCTTGATAATCGAAACAGTTTGCTTAATGTACTCTGTATCTCCACATCAAATTTTATGAAATTTCACGATAAGTATTAATCTCGTCATTTACATTTATTTATAGAGAAGGTTGTGACTTTTTCACAATAATGCACAGTGCGCTTATCTTGATATTAGTTTGTAACGACTTTAAGCGGATTTTTCCAAGTAGACGTTTTCCAACAGACAACAAAATATTTCTCCCAAGACACACATGCACGTATAATATATGCATTAATATTGATTGCAAGTTAATTATCTAGTAATAATTCTCTTTAATACCGCTTCCTTGTTCGGAAAACACTGACGATAGATTGAAGTTAATTTTTTTTATCGATGATTGCGATATTTTTTATAATCGTGCATTGTATAACAGGTTTTGATAATTGATGAATTAATTGAACATCGATTTCAAACGTATGTTCTATCGTTAGGATTGTATTAGCTGTAAACGAATATTGCAATTCTACGTAGACGAGTTTGTATTTGTAGAATATCAATGAACTACAATTTATGATTTTACGTAAATAAAATAGAGGAAAGGAAGATCGGGTGATGTCGGATATCTATGATTTTTTGAGGTTTTATTTTCTTAGATGGCAAAAATCGAGTATATAATATGAAACATTATTTTTATATCGAAAAACCTTTTCAATCATATTTTTCTAAAAATGATATAAAATGAAAATATATAACCCACAATTTAAAGAATAATATATGTTGTTTATATTGATGAATTAAAACGAAATTCCACTTACATTTAATGATGTGACTGGTTGATGAAGTTAACTTCATAAATACAGCAAACTGCACAACAAGTGTGAGTGCAAGTGTACAATAATTCGCAAATAACATTACCTCTGTCTCAATATGGAGAGGTTCCGGCTTTCATGTGTGCAGGTGAATTTGCCAGTAACTGAAGTACTAGTGCACGTGTCTAACAAGTAAACCTACGGAGGTGTCACTCACCGATTTTAATCAAACTTTGCATATTTGTAGAACTTTGAAAAATATTTGACACGTGTTTTTTTTTTATTTGCAATGGTCCACTCTGAGGGGTGAAAACTATCCTTTAAAGGTAAGGGATAGATGTAACATATTAGGTGAAATAAGTTGAAAATTTTAAAAAGTAAAATGTGTTTGGAGGTTTTTGGGGTCGCTGAAACTGAATCTTATGTCAAAAGTATGAAATTCAAAATGGCCGATCCAATATGGTGTCCAGATACCTATTTCGTATAAGATAAAATAAAAAAAAGTTACAAATTTTAAAAGTAAAATGGGTTAAGGGGTTTTTAGGATCGCTGAAACTAAATCTTATGTCAAAAATATGAAATTTAAAGTTTTCTCTACGTGCCACGTGCGATCATGAGTAAACGCGGCGAAGGTACACAAACGTTGTCCGTTTTCACAGACACATACGTACACTGTAGATAGAAGCGGTCTGATGTTTAGGTTTTTTCAGAGTTGAAAAAAAATCGTACTCCGAAAGGTGAAAGGCAAGGAGACTCACTGTAAAAAAGCAAGGTAAGGACCTTGTATCAATACATTTTTTGCAAAAATTATAAATTTTAACGTATACAGCCCCTACAGCACAAAACTTGCAGCAACAATGCTGCAACATTGCAACAATATTGCACGTTGCAACAATATTGCAGCGTTATTGCAGCAATATTGCTGCAAATTCTGTGCTGTATGGGTGCCATATTGAGACCGCCACTTTGAATTTTAAATCTTTAATACCATATTTAAAATCATCGATCCAAAAATCTGAAATTTTAATTCTGTGATGACAAGAATTCTTAAAATTTACTCATTTTAATAAAAACTAATAAAAATTTCAATGTACCTAGACGCCATATTGGGTCAGCCATTTTGAAGTTTATACCTTTGACATGAGATTCAGTTTCAGTGACCCCAAAAACCTCCTAACACATTTTACTTTTTAAAATTTTCAATTTATTTTACCTAATATGTTAAATCTATCCCTTACCTTTAAGGGGTAGTTTTCACCCTTCAGAGTGGACCATTGCAGATAAAAAAATATACGTGTCAAATATTTTTCAAAGTTCTATAAATATGCAAAATTTCATTAAAATCGGTGAGTGACACCTCCGTAGGTTTACTTGTAAGCTAAACAATTCCTGTCCGATACCACTCGACCTTCCCCTAAGTTTCTGATGATCAAGCAGATGACAGAACAAAACATGATCACGAGACGCACGTTTATAAAATAAAGAGAAGAAATGGTTATTTAAATTGTAAAATGCGCGAAGCTTGAATGATTTATGAATATTTCTGCATCTTCCTACTTGACGAAATTATATTTTAGACTAGATGAGAAGAAAACTTTAGAATGTGTGTGTGTGGTGTGTGTGTGTGTGTCTTTTCCACGCTGGAAGATTTTCATAGCACGAAGCTTTAGAGAATAGAATATAACGATTCATGTAAGAAATTCGAAACGGAAAATAATTTTGTCATAACAGTTTAATTAATTATGACTAGCTTGATTATGATCGATGCAGATACAACCGGTTTACAGGAAGTTTCTGTGAAAACATCGTACGAGGAGTAGAGTTGGATGCACAAAGACAAGGAAGCGGACACTCAAGTTAAGCTTACGAAGTTCACCTCTGATGGATGACGTGCTCAGTTGCCTACCGTAAATCAGACCGGACAATGACATCATCTCTCGCTTTCGTTACCGCGTTTCCTGATTCTTCGATGTACAAAGCGAGTCTGCTTCTCGCCGATATAGATAGCTAAGTTGGACGACGCCAAAGAAGCTATCGGCAACGTGAACTTCAGAGTGTTCTCCAAGGGAAGAATCACTTGTTTGGCGCGACACAAGTGACTAGAATCAACGGACTGGTAGGCCACGCTGGCTTTGTCACGGAAGGAACGATTGCGGTTGCTTTCTGCAGTTCTTATGAGAAGTCCTCAGCAATTGAACGTCAAGATCCACGATTTTGCTACTATTGGTTGCTTCTATCGCTATTTCCCGCATATAATTTCCTGTCAACGTGCTTTTTCTTCCTCTCCTTTTAGGCTGCTGCAAATGTGAGGAGCATGAGAAGATTGTGATGACCTTATAGGCCTCTTTTCACTTGACCTTCGCTTTTACTCGAAAACTGATGAAAAAAGCAATTTTCTGTTTGCTCGGACTGATCCAGACAGGATGCACGCACGTTATCGAAATCATGAGAAAAGCCCTCGACAGGTGTCACGTGAACTTTTACAGAAAAGTCTACGTATTTTGATGGTCGATACGATTGAACCCTAATAAACGATTGGAGTGTACAGTCGCGTAATTAGAGCTCATGGTGTTGTGCTGTGAGCGAAACTGAACGTGACAGTAGACTGTTCTCCGGAGCTTATATCGGCGATGCAGAGACGGTTGAGATAGCGCCAATCCTCTCCCACTTTTGCGTTTAAATGGACTCGTGCAGTGCAACCATGCTGTGTATTTTTTCTTTTTTTTTTCCAGCCTTTTTCCTCACATAGAACCTTTCGACTCCCTCGAGGATGTTGTCCAGATCGAAACAATGATTCATTAAATCGTCAGATTTCTTTCTAAGTGCGCTGATAGGGATACGCAAATAGGGATACAATCGTGAAAGTTATCGAGGAAAGGCTGATACTAGAAAGGAAAGAACGGATTAAAATAGAAATTTTATCTATCCAAATACGTATTTTAAAAATGCAAGATGTTAGGCATCAAGCAAAAATATTAAAAATTTATTAGTGAAGAAAAATTGGCTAAGTGTCCAAAATTTATTTGTATATTAATTATATGATAAATCTTTCTATTCGCAGGTGATCTGATAATGTTTCATTCATATGTTGTACAATGTAAACGCGGGGATGAAAAGATACCTTATATCGAGTAGCTCCATGCAAACTCGAGTGTTATGTTAGAAAACTATTAGTGGTGTTTGCTATGGAGAAGATAAAATGAAATATCAACCTTTTCGGTGGACATAAAATATAATGTAATAAAAGACAGTTAATATAATAAAGAATTATTTTTTTTTATATATATATATATATAAACTATTAATATAGAGATTAGAATAACTAATTTTATATAATATTCATATTTATAGTCAACAATATATTTACTAAACATTAATATTTTGAGACGAAGTACTTATTAACTTATTAATGCAATTGTTTATCATTATTTTATTTTTTATTACATATTTTTATTAATAATAATAATAAAATAATAACTAACTAAGTTATAGACTCCTTAAATCAAACGATAAGATAGAATTCGTAAATAAGACCATAGGAGTCAACCTCTAATTGTTAAAATTTCGAGAATTTATTACATCAATAATATCATTTAACTTCGTACAACATCATTTATGTTTCGACTCCTATTTGAATCATCTTCAGCAATTCAACATTAATAAGTACAGAATAAAAATCGCAATCAGTATCTTCATATTCTCATTATCAAAAGTGAGCGATTGCCAGAACATTCGTGAGGCCATGAGCAA